GCAAGTACGCCGACGAGATCCTAGAGCGTGCACACATGGCTTCCTGCAACCCTTGTCTTACGCCGGCTGACACAAAGAGCAAGTTGTCTTCGACCACTGGACCCCCCGTTGCTGACCCTACTCTTTATCGCAGCCTTGCCGGTGCACTGCAATACCTCACGTTTACTCGTCCTGACATCTGCTATGCTGTGCAACAAATATGTCTATTCATGCATGATCCGAGGGAACCTCATATGGCTGCTCTCAAGCGTATCCTTCGCTACATTCGTGGGACTCTCGATCACGGCCTTCAGCTCTCCCCCAATCCGGACCTCTCCCTTATCGCTTACTCCGACGCCGATTGGGGTGGCTGCCCTGACACTCGTCGTTCGACATCGGGCTATTGTGTTTTCCTAGGCAATAACCTCATCTCTTGGTCCTCCAAACGACAGGTCACTACCTCTCGGTCGAGTGCGGAGGCCGAATACCGAGCTGTCGCAAATGCCGTCGCCGAAACGACTTGGTTACGCAACCTACTTTCTGAGTTGCTCTGCCCGCTTTCGAAAGCCACTATTGTCTACTGTGACAACGTCAGTGCCGTCTACCTATCGAGCAATCCTATTCAACACTCTCGTACGAAACATGTGGAGATCGATATCCATTTTGTCCGAGACAAAGTTGCTTTGGGACACGTTCGAGTCCTTCACGTCCCATCCGCCTACCAGTTTGCCGATATCTTCACGAAAGGACTCCCTACTCAACTGTTCCAACAGTTTGTCTCCAGTCTCCACGTCCTCTCCTTTCCCGTTTCGACTGCGGGGGTGTATTAGCGTATCTACGTATCTATCTATATTATATATATTATTCCTATTATTATTCTTATTTATTAGGTTACCTTGTATATTAGGTTTCCTTGTATATTAGGTTACCTTGTGTAGTAGGTTAGGGTTTCCTACATGTAACTATATATATGATTAATATACGTAAGAGATATCATTCTCTCTTTTCTCCAAATATATTTCTCCTATAATCACTACCACCACCACCTCTGCTCAAAATCAGCCAGATGCTGTTGGCGCGGAACGACGGCGTTGATTTCGGTTAGGGCGCCGCTCTATTGACTATTCGTGGTGGATGAAGGGGGTTGGAAATTAGGGGGTGGCAGAATCATAGCTTGTGAATTTTGTTTGGCCGTAGTCGGCAGCCACAACTCCGGCGATTTTTTTGCTTCAATTTCATTGCAAAGTGGCAATTCACAAACGAGGTCGGGCGGCGTAGGTTGCGGTGACGATGGCTGAGAAAAAGGAAAAATGAGGTGCGGCGGAGGTGGTGGAGAGGGGGTGGTTGGGTAGAACGAAGAAGATCACTTTTTTTTTTCTCCTAATTTTATAATTATTTGTATTTATAAATGTAATATATAATATATATTTGTATACTGATAACTGAATGAATTGAAATTTATTGGAAAAAATATAAAATAACGTTAAAAAAGTTTTTGAAATATTACAAAATTTTCAAATACACAGCCATAAATCATATGATAATTTAAAAAATAAAACGATTTGCATATTATATCCAATTTTTTTCTTTTTCTTTTTAAGATTTGTTTATAGGCTGCGGCTATATGCAATACTAATTCCACTTGTGCAAGACCAAATTAAAGAAAGATTCCAAAAGATTCTATTTTATTGAGATGAAATGACAAATATACCCATAAGTTAAATTGCCTTTTTTTTCTCATGCAAGACCAAATACAAATAATGAGGAAAAACAAAAACAAAAAAAAAAAGAAAAAAAAAAAACATTGTGCGTGAATTGGAAAAGCAAACAGCCCCCTCGTCACACCCACCTTCTCCGCCGTTAAACTTCCGATGCCCAAGCTCCGCCGCCCAAGTTCCACCACTGATCGCCGCCACCGCCAGCCCCGCCTCTCACAATCATGAGTGACCCAAACATGCCCAGCAACGCCGCCGCCGCCGCCGGTATTTATGAACTTTGTTTGAAAATTTCGAAAATGGTTATTTAAATTCGATAAATCCATAGTTTTATTATGTTAAAATGACATTAAGAAGCTTTCGTTGATGAATTGTTGTCTGGAGAGCAGATTTTTGATTTGTTGTTCTTCATTTTCATTCGTCCTCCAAATGTCGTTTTTCAAAGGAAAAATTCGACATTTGCAGGTCGGTTTTGTATGCTATGATTCGACATCTTAAAGATGTCGATTTCTTATCATACAATTCGACACCAAGATGTCGATTTTTTGATGAGGAATCGACATCTACATGATGTCCAGAAACACTCATAAAAATCAACACCAAGGTGTCGATTTTTATGGTAAAAAATCGACATATAGATGTCGAAATTTAACTGTTTGTTTTTTTTTATAATTTTTTTTAATAAATGTAATTGTTGTTGGTTTTTTGTAGAGGATGCTCGTGTACGATAAACCGCTTCCCATCGACTATGTACTTCTATTCGATTATTGAAGTAGTGTTAGAATTAGTCGATGCATTTGAAAGGGTTTTTGTCGCCATGTAATTCTCGTTTCATTTATTGCATATTTGTTCTTCTCGTTGTGTTTACTTGCCTTTTGTCAGATATATATAGTTCTTGTGCATAAAGTTTATTTCATTCAACATTATTTTTTTTACGATATTGATTTCTTCGATGGTTGTCGATAGGCTCGAGCATTTTATGGATTCCAAACTGCTATGGAAAACATACATTCTGGTAAAGATCTTTAACCGATCCTCGTAGTAATTTTTGTGATAATTTCATGCTTTAAGAAAGCTGATTCTAAATTTCGTCACGGTTCTCGATAGAGATGTATAGCTTGCTTTTGGAAACATATATAAAGGACTCGAACGAAAAGTACATATTGTTTAATGCAGTCGAAAACATTCCTTGTGTTGCACGAAAAGCTAGTTGGGCTTTAAATTGGATTAAGAGGTATATTATTTCTTGCGATTCTCTGTATACGCACTTTCGATGAGTTTGCTAATACCGATTTTTCTTAATTATTTATTTAATGCAATTCTAGCTCGTTTACAGAGAGACTTGTTGCGTTTGCTTGTATTGAAGGCATATTCTTCTCCGGAAGGTATAATATAATACCTACGATATAGAACGATATTTCCTTCTGTGTTTTAATTTTGTAAAGTTAAATGATTTAATATCGTGTTATATCTCAGCTTCTGTGCTATTTTTTGGCTTAAAACTAGGGGATTAAGGCCGGGATTGACATTTTGAACGAGCTTATTTCTAGAGACGAGGGTCTCCACTGTGACTTTGCTTGCTTATTATACAGGTGATTTTATCATTCTTGTTTCGATTGTTGAGATTATTGAATTATAATCCCGAAGGAGTTGACTAATTTAGGTTTTTTTTTACTCGATTCTGCAGTTTACTAAGGAAGCAACTTCATATGCAGAGGGTTTATCTTAATGTGCAAGAGTCTGTTGAAATCAGAGATCGAATTCGTTTGTGATGCACTAGCGTGTGCACTCATTGGTATGACTTGACTCGATTATGCAGAGGAAAAGCAAACTTCTTTGAGAGAAGGCTTCTGTAATGTCAAGTCTCCAAGCGGGTTCCAAGAATTACGAGTTCAAAACCGACGAGGACTTTTAGTCGTCAACTTTGTTCTTATTTTTCCAGATTCTTCCGAAAACATTTCGTTGTAGTATATAGACTTTAAGTTGACTATTAAAACCTCAATAATACGTTCTGTAATTCATCCATTATATAACTACAAAAGTTTTCTAAACTCTGTCCAAATAAAACATATGCAGATATGAGCCAAGAAAACCATAATCTTGTCTCTAAAATATTACATTGAGAAAAAAAATCCTGCAACAAAATCGAACATAGTCAAGCCTCTTCGTAAGTGCCATTAGAATATTCATGACCTGCATTTGCAGAACCTCCATTCAATAAAACTCAAAATATGTAAAAAAGAGGAAAGACAAATTAAATTTGAAACTGGTAAAAATCGACACCAAGGTGTCGAAATACTATGCTACAAATCGACACTTAAGCGTCGAATTTTATTGGGAAAAATCGGCATTGACATGTCGAATTTATAGCACAAATTCGACATTGCCAAATGTCGAATTTTATGCATAAAAATCGACATCTAAATGTCGATTTTTACCCATCAAATTCGACCTGTACATGTCGAATTTGTTTGTGCGGGATTTTTTTTGGAAAAACGATATTCTAGCTAAAAAGCCCAAAATTGCATACTTTCTTGGTTTTTCTATCGTAGAATCTTCTATTTTGATGTCTTCTAACTCCATACTTGCCATCTTTGTAAGATTTGTTGAGTTTTGATGATTTTTGAATGTTTAGGTTTTGTTGGTTTATGGGGGGAGGAAGGAGAAAGACCTTGTGGATTTTGGAAGATGGAGAAGATGAGAGTTGGTCTTGTGGTTTTGTGGTCTTGTGATAGGGTTTTTGGTGTTTTTAAATTTTTGGTCTTGCACATTTAGGATTTTCTATTTTTTTAACAAGTAAGGGTATTATAGTATTTATACATTGAAAATTTTAATTTGGTCTTGCACAAGTGGTTTTAGTCTTACATATAGCCGCAGCCTTGTTTATATTAATGAAAAAAAGAAAGAAAAACAGGTGTAAGAGGAAAAGACCAATTTACCCATCTTAAATCATGTGCTTCTCACGTGTTATGCCTTCCGGCCATTTTTTTGCCAAAAATGGACAATTTCGACTTCGGTGCTACAATTTAGTAAGTTAAGGTATGCTCGTGCAACTTTTTTCCGTTCAGGGGGTAAAGTGCAAAAACGTCCAAAGTTTAGGGGATTTTTTGCAGTTAACCCTACTTAATAAGTGTTCTGGACATTCTGTACCAGATGAAGCATAGCTCGAAAACTATTACTACAGTACATGCAATATCAAACAATATGCACCGATAAAAGGGATTTTCGTCGAAACAATTGGATTCCATCAGCGTGTTAAAATTCAAAATAAATATGTATAGCATATTCTAGTATTACGATAAAAAATAGAAAAATAAAATGCCTTTAGTCGACATAGCTCAGAGTGACAAAATTAATGAATGTTACGACTGCTTTTACATTTTCCATCTCTATGCCATTGTAGGTTCATTCAATAAAATAAACTTTCGACTTTTCCTTGTTTTTCGATTCGAACACTTATTTCATACAGCTTTGCAAAATAGATAAAACAAAAACAAAAAAAAAAAACAAAAAAAAAAAGAATCATTTCGATGAAAAAACGTGTTCTTTCTCCCTCGAATGTTTACTTGCACTAATTATATAAAATGCAAAATTCTAAAACTGCATTATATAATCGAATCCCACTTGGCATTGGTACTACCTGGCACATGTTATATGTGAGGACATGGTCGAGACTTCCGATCCTTTGCTTCCCCCCTTAGCCTTCGATTCTTGATTCTCCTCCCTTAGAAAAAATGTCATATAATCAGAGTAGAGTCCCGATTCATAAACTTGTTGGGATGAAACTAATTACGGAATTAAATCCAAAGAACTACAAAAATAAAAGAAGTCCGAAAAAAAAATGAAGGAGAAATTCAGATTCTATGTTTCTCTTCCTCAAAAAATTCAAACCATCTCAAATTCAAATTCTAAATCTATAAATCCATCTCAAACAACTAAATGAAAGAAGACTACCCTCTACAATCCAATTTGGAAAAGGGATGTGATAAATGACGTTTCAGTTTTAAAATACCGTTTCGATTTTAAATTAGGGTTTCACCATTTCCGAGATTGAATTTCGCAAAACTCAAAACACGAAATATGTGGTTCTTTGAGTTAGCTTTTTAATCCAACTTGAATCACCAAAATTGGACCCTAGATGAGAATGATATGAATGAATCAATGAACAGTGCTCACAACATTGAAATTTTGAGTTATCTTACATTCAAAACGTAATGTATTCATGCATAACTTTGCCATAGGGCATCCAATCTAGCTGATTCAAGTTGGATTAGATAGGCAATTCAAAGCACTACAATTTCCGTGTTTGAATATTGCCAAAATCAGATTAGAAATGGGTCAAAACCACGTTCGAAGTCAAAACGGTATTAGCAAAATTGAAACGACATTTAACATTTCAGTTAGGAAAACAATCTGCTAGCAAAGCAATTATCCAAAGTTTAAAGCAACATCCTACCCATACAAACATTTGAATTGAATAGAGAATATAGCCAACAAATTAAAATCTTATAGCGTAAGGTACGACCTCGCATCTTATTTTCTACTGCATCAAAACTAAATAAGCGAATTTTCTAATAAAATTACGATAAAATGGTCAAAGATTCTCTCAGTCAGATACACGTGCACGTCAATCATTTTGGGGCTTGACCTTTTCGGGATAGACGTTCCAATCCATATTTATTAAGAAACGGAAATAGTAACCGCAATTTACGAAAGATAAACACCCTTCTTTCTAACATCCTCTTATTCTAATTCACCTAGTGTTAAAATCAAGAAAAGGGCATTGAACCGACACTTCACACAGAGTTAAGGGTACAATAATATCAGCAGACACGAAAGAAAACATATAGAGTCGAACAACCATCTTATAAATCCAAGAAATACCGAACGAATGAAACGTAAGTAAGCAACTAACCTATTTCTCACGCAGTTAGCTTCAACATAATAACCTTCTACCCCTAACCGAACTCATCGGAACGTACACATCACTAACTTCATCCATATAAGGGCTGATAAATTTCTGGAAAAACTTTTCGTCCGTTAAGGTGTAAACTATCCCGAGACCAGGCCAACTTGTAATCAGATTTCTACTCTCCAGAATCTCTAAAATCCGAATCCTCGGCTTAAATCTCCTCTCAATGCTGCAGGCTAACGACATCGGATTATTCACAATACACGACATACTGAACTTCCCAGTACCAAGTAGAACCTCTTTGACTTTCTTGATCTTGACCATTGACCCAGAGAAAGCAGACGGCGCCTTCACGAACATTGCCAATATTTCGTTTTCCGAAAACCCCAAATCCCGAAAGCCTTGCAGCTTAAGTTCCCACGCCTCGTTGCTCATTGAGGCAATTGATCGAACAGCATATATGAATACTTTGGAGCACCGATCGATCCCCATTTCTTCCGCCTTGTCTACAGATCTCCGTAATATGTCCGGCTTCAGCAGGAAAAACCTCGGATAGCTATGGAGGATGAGAAACAGACGCTCCGTAGGTATACCGAAGCTCTTCAAGAAATCGAAATTCGGCACCATCGTCTGTTCCAAATTGGTTGTCACAAACCAAGCGGATAATCTTAATAATCTGGCTAAATCGTAATCGGATCCCAACAAACCCTTGAGCAAAGATAATGTGGGGATGATGTTATTGTTCACACTCAAATGCAAAATTGCCGGATTGCTCGAGATTATAATTGAAATGTCATCGGAAGAAAAACCCAAATCTTGAAAAACCCTAATCTTGGGTTTAATGCTAGCCTCGAGACTAGCGGAGAGAAGTCGAGGCCTGTATTTCACGATTTTCTCCAACCGGGTATTCGAAAAACCAGATTCTTTGAAGAATGAGAGTACTGAATCAGCTTTTTCTGGGGTTTTTAAATGGGCTAAAGCGGAGGCAACCCGTGAAGCCAATTCGGGTGTGAAATGGTGTCTGTGGAGCAATATATCGAACACCTTAGGGTTCGTTCTGAGGAGTTGTTGTTTTTCACTCGAAGAAGAAGAAGAAGAGGAGGACAAAAAACGGAGAGGTGTTGAGAAAGAAACATGGGATTTCACAATGTAAGAGGAGGCGAGGTTTCTGCGTACGAGGTTAATCATCTTTAAGAAGAAGAAGAAATCACAGCTGGAAAAAAAATTAAATCATTTGGGTTTAAAAGGGGAAGAGAAAAGCTTCTCCGGCGATGGGTGGTTGAATCTAAGAGAGTAAAGCGCTAATCGGAAAAATTTCCGCCGCCGATGATTCTTCTTTCGCCGAATCAAATGGCAGCCGGCGGCGCTGTTTCAGGGGTGGGTCTTCAACTTCGGTCTTCTTTCTTCCACCTCTTTACCCAAAAATAAAAGGGTTAATGAGAGGCATAACCCCTTATTATGGAAATTTCATTATTTTTAATAAGTCAAACTCTTCATTATTTTTTCTTTTTTTGTGATAAATCCAAATATTTTTAAGCAGTATTTTTTATTATATTTTCTCTATAATACGCTTATGTACATATGGAATTAAGTATATTTGTTCTATATTTATTTTGCACGTTCCCAATTTCAACCCGTATTTCTCTCTTTTCCAATCACGCTCTATCTCTTCATCTCTCTCTTTGCCGACCACCATTCTCGCTAGGCAAATCCACTGACCACCATTTTCACAGGGGAAAAAGGCATCTTGCTCTTATGGTGGAGCACCTCCGTGTTGTGTTGGGTCACCAAAGCCTCTCCAGGCCTTCCCTGGGACGCCCCCTCCGATCTCTATAGATGCCCGACCGGCAGAGATGTCGCGGCCGTTGCCACCACCGCCATAAGGGAGTGCAACCCTATCCTTGTTGAATGTTAATATTAACATCTAAGTGCATTATGTTAATATTTTAGTGGATTTCGATAATTTTCGTAGTGGGTTTTAATGAGAAAATAGTGGATTTTCAATTCTTGCTTTGGAGACCGATTTTTAGTGAATGCATTAAATTTACACGTTGTTGTGAAAGCTCAACCTCCTCATTCTCAGCCAACCGAGAATCATGCTCCAAGTCATCAGCCTTAGTTCAAGGCTTTTTATTTATATCATCTTTGACTCTCAATTGTAGCTATATATTTAATGTAATTGATTCTCTCATAATTGTAATTACCATACATGCATGTATATATATATATATATATATATATATATATATATATATATATATATATATATATATATATATATATATATATATATATATATATATATATATATATATATATATATATATACACACACACACGGATTATATTCACCACAAAGGTGTGGTGATTTTCTCAAACTCTCTCATGGTTTCAAGAGACTAGGTTTCCTCCACACTTCTGCCCTTCAATACACTCGTTCATATGATAACAGTTAAATTATGTTCTTCCAACTATCTCTTATGGAAAAGTCGATCCCATATTTGTTCATTTGTTGTGCAGAGATCTTCATTACTATGATCCAACAGGCTGTGACTGCTGGACAATTGCACGGTGTTAAAATTGCTTCGACAACGCCTACTATCTCGAACTTGTGCTTTGCTGACGACACTCTTCTTTTTTTGTCGTGCAAGTGATGGGGACTCAATTGCTCTGAAGAAAAATCTTGATCAATATGCCAGTATATCTGGCCAAGAGATTAATTACGAGAAGACTGTTATGTGCTTTAGTCCAGCTACACCACTTTAAGTGAAAGATTCTATTTACAATTTACTAGGATTTCAAGTGGTAGATCGCCATGACAAATATTTGGGTATGCCGGCATCCTTAGGTAAATCTCGAAACAACATCTTTCACTTCTTGAGGGATCGTCTATGGTCTAAAATTAAGGGTTGGGAGGAAAAGCAATTGTCGCAAGCTATTCCATCATACTTGATGTGTTGCTTCGAGTTACTTGCAGGCCTGGTTCCTGATCTTGAATCTACCATCCGTGGGTTTTGGTGGGGTGGGGGTTCGGGTAGAAAGATAGCTTGGATTTCTTGGAAGAAAATGTGTACACCAAAATCGGCAGGGGGAATGGGATTTTGGGATATGCGTAGTTTCAATGAGTGGGAACTTAGTTTCTGTCTAGGTATGCGACCTTATGCTTTGCTTGCTAAGCAGGTGTTGAGATTAATTACTAAACCTGACCTTCTCCTCTCCAAAATTCTTAAGGCCCCATACTTCCCACAGAGAGATATTTTTCGAGCGGGAATCGGTTCTCGACCATCGGCTACATGGAGGAGTATGCTGAAGGCACGCCCGTTCTTGGTGCAAGGACTTCGGAAGCGCATCGGGAATGGTCATGAGACATCTATTTGGGCCGACCCATGGTTGCGAGACGATGGCAATCATAAGGTCTTAACTCGACGGCCAATTATGAGCAGTTACCCGAATCGGGTATCGGATTCGGATCTCATTGACCCCGATTTATGCACGTGGAATATTGGAATTATTAATTCGCAATTTCGGCAAGTGGACAGAGAACGGATCTTAGCGGTTCCTATTGGAACTCGTAATGCACGAGACAGGTGGATTTGGCATTATTCTAAGTCGGGAGAGTTTACGGTCCGAACCTGCTATCATAATATTATTTCACAATTTCATCGGTCAACTAATAGTCGGGGAAGGAATGAAGCATCACATAGCGGCGCAGCGAACCATAAGTGGACCGAGATTTGGAATCTGCCCCTCCCTCCGAAAATTCGCAACTTTCTATGGAGAGCTTGCTCGGATATCCTACCTACAAGCGCGGAGCTCCACCGAAGGAAAATGGTCCCTTCTCCTATATGCATGCGATGCGGTGCTGATGTTGAAACTTTTTTGCATGTGCTGCAAGAGTGTAAACAGATGGGGAAGGTTTGGAGTTCGCCGTTCTTCAATCTTCGACCCATGCGGCCACAAAGCTCGATGTGGAACTGGATTAGTCATGCGAGGGCCTTTCTCCAGCGGGACAAGTTCCTCTTGGCACTTATTATTGCGTGGAAGGTCTGGGACGTAAGGAACAAATTAATTCATGGCGAAGAGGCTATGGAAGCGGAATATCTCATCAATTGGGGTCAATCTTTTCTTATCGAGTTCCAAAAGGCGATGGTCTTGACTCCGAAAATTCAAACGAGGTACCTCTCAACGGCGTGGATTCCTCCTCCTGAGGGCTGCATTAAAATCAACGTCGACGCAGCTTTGCCGAAGGGGATGGTCTATTACTCAGTTGCCATGGTCGCACGTGATTGGCGAGGTGGGTGTTGCAGATGGGCGGTTCGTCGATTTCTGGGGCAACCACAGCCGGTCGAATGCACCTCGTATGCAGTTTTTGCGGCAATTTTTTGGGAAAGGACCATTGGCTGGAGCTCGATAATTATCGAAGGAGATTGCTTGCAGGTTATTACTTCGCTCAAAGAAGGCGAGTCATCAATGTCGTCGTTCGGAGCTTATATCGATGAATGTTTGGCTATAGCAGGTTCCTTTGTATTTTGCGATTTCTCGTTTGTTAAGCGTAGTGGAAACCGATTGGCGCATATGTTCGCCACAAACATTAGTTTAAGTTGTAGTGATGGAACTCATATTCCTCATAATTTGGCTATTAATGCCTAATGGAATTTTCTTTTCCCTAAAAAAAAAAAAAGAATAACTATCTCTTATGGAAAAGTCAGTTGCTTCCCCTCTTAGAAAGTCAAGAATTAATTGGCTATGTCGATGGCACTACACAAATCCCTCCCCGTCTTTCTGCTGATAATTCACAAACACCAAACCCCACATGTGTGGCATGGAAACAAACTGATCAACGTCTTCTTAGCCTTCTACTATCCTCTCTTGCCGAGGAGGCCATGGCTGAAGTTGTGGGACTCTCCACTTCCCGTGAAGTGTGGCTTGCCTTGGAAAATACTTTTAGTCACCGATCAAAAGCCCGTGAAATTCGCCTTAAAGATGACTTACAACTACTGAAACGAGGCTCGAAATCTGTTTCGGAGTATGCCCGTTCCTTCAAGGGCCTTTGTGATCAACTCCATGCAATCAGACGACCGGTTGATGACACAGATAAAATGCATTGATTTTTCCACGGTCTTGGCTCGGAATTCTGGAGCTTCTCCACTGCCCAAATGTCCCTTCCATCCTTATCGACTTTCATGGATCTTTTCCCAAAAGCCGAGAGTTTTGAACTCTTTCAAAAATCATTGGAGTCGATTGCACCAACATCTACAGCGTTTATAGCCACCAATCGTCAGCCTAAAAAATATAATCAGCGAGGCTCCTATTCTCGGTATCAATCGACTCGAGGCAATGGACGTGGATACGAAGGTTCCACTGGTAAAAAAATCACACGTTGTCAAATCGGCCGCATGGATGGTCATTATGCAGATCGATGTAGACAAAGGTATGAACGCCATAGTCAGACTCCTCAAGCTCAACTTGCCGAAGCAAAGCGACGTGTTCTATCTCCGAAATGAGGCCTCAGATTGGTATCTAAACACGGGGGCGTCGGCTCATATGACCCCAACAAAATCATTCTTGAATCAGTCCACTTCTTATACTGGTAAGGATTGTGTAATTGCCAGCAATGGAACATCTTTACCAATTACCCATACCGGTAAAATATCTAATTCCCCTGATTTTCAACTCTTGGATGTTCTTGTTGTCCCGCACATTACTAAAAACAATTTGTCTATTAGTAAATTAACGAGTGATTTTCCAGTTAACGTTACTTTTTCTGATATTCTTTTCACCATTCAGAATCGCCAAACGGGAAGAGTGGTGGCAACCGGTAAACGAGATGGCGGCCTATATGTGGTAGAACGCAAAAATTCAGCTTTTGTTTCTATCCTAAAAAATAAATCTTTGTATGCTTCATATGACTTATGGCATGCTCGCCTTGGACATGTCAATCATTATGTTATCTCTTTTATGAATAAAAAAGAACAACTTCATCTTACCTCTTTATTGTCGTCTCCTGTATTATGTAGTACTCCCTCTGTCCCATATTATATGTCTTTTTAGAGAGTTTTTCTTGTCCCAAATTATTTGTCATTTTAGATTTTCAATGCATCATTAATTGCATTATTTTCAATTTTACCCTTTTATCATTCCTAATTAGTTAAGTTGTAAAACAATTAATGTCAAGGATATATTAGTAATTTCCTATGTTTTTTACTATAATCTATACACATTTATTGATTTTCTTAATATGTGTGAAACAACCCAAAACGTCATTTAAATTGGGACGGAGGGAGTACATGTCAAGTTGCAAAAAATCACCGTTTGCCATATTCACGTAATGATCATAGATCCTCAAAGGTCTTAGATCTTATTCATTGCGATCTATGGGGGCCATCTCCCGTTAAATCTAATTCTGCATTTTTGTATTATGTTTTATTTATCGACGATTTCTCTCGTTTCACTTGGTTTTATCCTTTGAAATTGAAATCTGATTTCTTCAACACCTTTATTCAATTTCAAAAAAAAAAATTTTGAAAACCAATATTTTGCTCATATAAAAGTTTTTCAAAGTGATGGTGGTGCAGAATTTACTAACGCGCTTCAAAGGACACCTTAATAACTCTACACCTTAGTAACTCTGGCATTCATCACCAACTATCTTGTCCTTATACACCAACACAAAATGGTCGTGCAGAAAGAAAACATCGCCATGTTACCGAGACAGGATTGGCCCTCCTTTTTTCATTCCCACATTTCTACTCAATTATGGGTTGATGCTTTTAGCATTGCGGCTTACATCACAAACCGATTGCCAACACCACTTCTCGGAGGTAAGTCACCTTTCGAAATTCTGTATGGTACCCCACCCAATTATAAATAGATTTTGCCCAATCCCCTTTTCTAGTGAAATCCTAATTCGTCATTTTCATTTTTTGTTCGGTTGTGTATGTTTTCTTTCAACTGTGGATTATCGTATCGTTGTATGCCTTAACCGACACACAAATAGAATGGAACAAAGAGAGCATCAATTAAATGACGAAAAATGGAAGGGATATTTTTGATAATTTGAACAAAATCCCCACATATCATTAAAACAAATGAGATATGATTGTTACACAATCTTAACCATGGGGTATCCCGCAAACCAAAAGACGTGATCATATTAATCCCTATATTAATCATATCCCAACCTATCAATCCAAACCATCCAATCAAAAGAGAGCCCAAAGGGGATAAATAGTACTCGAGCACAAATGAATGGAAATATGGGCAATTTGGTCTTTTTCTTTACAATCGAACTTAATTGAAAAACGTCCAAACAAAATTCTAATCACAAGCACAAAACAAGATATATATAATCATCCACTCAATCAATCCAATACCATCGAATCCCATCAGCAAAACCAAAAGAGGCCTAACAGAATAAATTGCATTATACATGAAAGCATCATAATCATCATAAATGTAACGAGGACTTAATCGGGAATATTGACGGGGATTAACAAGATTGATTAGAATTAAACTGTTCAACAAATTAAAGTATAATCTATTGTTTTGAAACTACATGATCGATCAATAATCGTTTTTTTTTAAATGCTTGCACATTGCATTAAACAACGTACCTACTTCCGTTCAGTTAACACTAACAAAGGATTATTAGTACTTAATCCCCCTTTTGCCCCTGACCAAACTCGTCTTGACGTACGCATCATCATCGCCAACTACATCAGAATACGGCCGAACGAATTTCTCGAAAAACTTATCATCCGTTAGTATGTAAACTTCTCCGAGACTGGGCCAATTCTCAATCAGATTTCTACTCTCGAGAATTCCCAAAATCCGAAACCTCGGCTTATACCTCTTCTCGACACTGCACGAAAAGCAAACCGGATGTTTAACAATACACGACAGAGTGTACTTCCCGGTACCAAGTATAACCTCCGTTATCTTCTTGATCTTGACCATGGATGAAACGAAAGAACTCGGTGCCTTCATAAATATTTCCAATATGTCACTTTCCGAAAACCCGATATCCCTAAAACCTTGCAGCTTGACTTCCCACGCATCGTTGCTCATCGAGGAAAGCGCCCGAACGGCGTAAATGAATACTTTCGAACTCCGATCGACCCCCATTTCTTCCGCCTTGTCCACGGATCTCCTTATAGTTTCCGGCTTGAGCAAGAAAGTCCTCGGGTAGTTATGAAGGAGGAGCAATATACGATCCCTAGGTATGCCTACGCTCTTCAAGAACTCGAAATTCGGCACCATTGTCGTTTCTAAATTCGACGTCACGAACCACGCGGATAATTTCAAAATCCGGGCCACATTATAATTGGATCCTAATAAGTCCTTTAGAACAGAGAGTGAGGGTTTGATGTTATTGCCGACGCTCATATGCAGAATCGCGGGATCGTTCGAGATAATCGAGCAAATGTCGGCGGACGAAAAACCCAAATCCTGGAAAATCTTGATTTTGGGTTTGATGCTGACGTCAGCCTTAGCCGACAGAAACCTAGGCCTGTGCCTGATGATTTTCTCCAACTGGGTGTGGGAAAAGCCGGTTTCTTTGAGGAATGAGAGTACTGAATCTGCCTTTTCGGGGTTTATTAGACGAGGGTAAATCGAGGCGATTCGTTCGGCTGCTTCGGGTGAGAAATTGTGATTGTGAAGCAAGAAATCGAAGACTGTAGGGCTGGTGGCGGGTTGTTCTTCCGGCGAAGAAGAAGAAGAGGAGAAGAAACATTGGATTTGGGCACAGTTGAAAATTTGCTTCGGGATAAAACAGGCGAGATTTTTGCGTACGAAATGTGAAATCATCTTGGCGAAAAATTCGGAAATGGAGATGTGAAATCAAGTGGGTTTTTTCATGAATTGCCTGGAAAATTGAAGCCGACGGAAGAACCCTAAGAGTATCAATGGCTGCTGCCGCTGTTTCAGGTTTCTTTCGTAGGTCAAGTTTGGTCCCATTTCAAAATTCATGTTTCAATACTTTACAAATAAGCCCATCAATTGGTACTTATTCATAAAGAGATCCACACAAAAATCTCTTTTAACAATAAGTACACATATGCTCCAGATTTTTGTAAAGAACTAAAATAACCCCTCATACTTTAATATGCTCCAATTTCATCCTTAACTTTATTTAACTTTAATTTGACCCCAAATTTCATAAATTATTCAATTTTGACCCAAAACATTCTTTTTTTCAAAAAAAAAAAACAATTCAAATTTTTTTTCCCCCTGGATTCCGCCGGTCAACGGCGTTGACTTTTCAATTTTTTTTCCTTCTTTTATTTCTTTCTATAACTTTTTTTTTTCCGTTTAAACAGCAATATTGATGTGATTGACAGTAATATTAACTATATTACTGTTAAACACAGTAAAATTAACTAAACTATAGTTTAACACAGTAATATTGCTATATTAGTCTCTAGCACAGTAATATTAACGCAACAAAACTCATTATTATTATGTAATAAAGTAATATTACTATGTTGACCGTTCAACAAATGTAAACATAATAAAAAGCCAAAAGAATTAATATTACTGTGAGTGACGGTAATATTGCTATAACAACAGTAATATTACCGTCAACCACAATAATATTACAATAATAGACAGTAATATTATTACGTTACTCCGCGAATAACTCAAACAAACAAAAAATTCCAAACAAAATAATAATATTGATGTGGTTGACAGTGATATTATTGTGTTACAGTAATATTACAATAATAGACAATAATATTATTGCGTTACTCCGTGAATAACTCAAACAAAACAAAAAAACCCAAAAAAATAATAATATTGATGTTGTTGACAGTAATATTATTGTGTTTACAGTTATTTTACTGTCAACGACAGTAACATAATTACGTTAACTTGTCAACAAATCAAAGAAAATTAAAAAAATAACAAAAAATAATATTACGTTAATTTACTGTCAACGGCAGAACAATTACATAAATGTATTGTCAACGGCAGTACAATTACGTTAATTACTTGTCATTGACAGTATAATTACCTTAATTTAATGTCAGTGGCAGCACAATTACGGTCAACGTTTAGCGGCGGACGTAAAAAAAAACAAAAAAAAAAAAAGAAAGAAGAAAAAACTTAAAAAAACACTAAAAAAAGTCAACGCAGGAGACCGCCGGTCAACGCCGAAAACCGGCTAAAATATCCGCAAGAAAAGAAAAGAAAAAAAAAAGTCAACGCCGGAAACCGGCGAAAAAATCCGAAAGAAAGAAAAAAATTTTGAAAAGTCAACGCAATCCGGCAGCAAATTTTTTTTTTTGAAAAAAACAATTTTGGGTCAAAATTGAATAATTTGTGAAATTTGGGGTCAAGTTGAGATTAAATTAAGTTAAGGATGAAATTGGAGCATATTAAAGTATGCTAAAAAAAAGTTAAAATTGAAATTTTTGTGGTCAAAATTTGATTTTTTTGGACAAAATTGATTAAATTGGGGTTACAATTAAGAATTGAGTTTAAATGATTGAGGGTATTATTGGGATATACATGAATGTTTCATTTATTTATAATAAATGTTAAAGGGATGGCCTTATTGGTGAAAGAGTATAGCCCTTAAACATAGAATAATAAAGATATTTGGTTGGGGACTTATGCATAAAAACCCCTTCAATTATATTGTTTTTTGTGTTAATTTTACTTCATCCAATCCGATTCAAATATTTTTAATTAAGGACTAATATTTTTAGGGTGTTGGTATTTGCAGTGGTATTATTACTGAATACAGTGGAATCTTTTTCATTAAAATTTTTTTTTTGAAATTCTCCCTCCCACTCTTAAACTCTCTCAATACATTCTACATTCGGAGCACATTTCGGCTTTCAATCCGTAGCAAACGAGGCTCGATTCCGGTAATTTTTTCATATTCCCTACTTTTAATTAATTTCATTTACAATTTAGGTAAAAACGCATGTTTAGAATTAGATCTAGGTAATTTTCAAAAAAAAGTTTAAATTTTGAATCCCCTGTTCTGCAGAGCACGAAAACTTAAAGATTCTTCAAGTTTACGTGCTCAACGGGGGATTCAAGAATCTTGAAGCTACCGTTAAGCAACACATATGTACCCACAGTTTTCATCCGCGACAACATTAACATAAGACGCAATAGATCCTGCCACAAAACATGGGATGTAAGATCTGAAATTGAGCTCTTCGCCCGGTTCCTTTCGAGCATTCGTAATACGATTCTGATTGACAGTAGATTCATCACTTGATCTACCACTAACCCGGCCACACACCCTTCCCCGACCGCAAGCGGGATCGGTTTACTTTCGATGGTGGAATTCCGGTAGAAATAGTTTTTCAACCCTTAAAACATGTAGACGATTACCCTTTTCTTCATCAGTAGACGACTTCGGTGGGAACGGTGGGTACTCCCAATCGGATTTATCTCTCTTCGTCGGTTTATCCTTTGGCCGCTCCTTCGGTTTAACATATGCAAGCTCAACCAAGTGGACCGTGTCACGATTAATAGTGTTATTCATGTAATCAACAGTCATTTTTTGAGTCATGTAATCATTTTCTAACACTTCGGTGGCCAGAGTAATTATCCGATCTCTCATATCCGCTTCGCGGTCTACCTGTGCTTCCACTATTTCTGGTTCTTCAACGTGCATGGTACTCCAGAATGGATGTAGCCCCATAGTTATAAATATATCACGTTACTGGATTTACAATAAAATTTGACACGCATACAGAAGTCCATGATGTTAATCTAGAAAGAATTGATGATACGATCCAGCCAATTACGCGAGGTAGTGACGAGCTGGATGAAGGAGTTGATGACTTGGACGAGCTGCATGTGCCAAGAGGACCGATTACCCGAGCTCGGGCCAAGCGCATTGAAGGAGCCATGCTTAACTTAGTAGAACACGAGCTCCAAAATGAAGAATTGACGAAGTCTAGTTCGATCCCAGCTGAGCTTAATTGGAGCGAATTATCAGGCCAGATTGTGAAGCAAGCCGAGCTCAAGGACTTGAGCCCGTCTAGTCATCCAGCCAAGAAGCCATGACTTGGAAAAGATGATTATTATTAATTTTCGTATTTAATTATTGGACAATTTATTTCTTGTTATTTAGAGTCCTATTTGGACTAGATTTAGTTTATTTTGTTATTTCCTTATAATAGATAAGTTATGATTTATTTTCCTTGTTAGATTATGTCTCTTTGACAATTATAAATAGGTTGCTTTAGGGTCATTATTATTTGGACGTTTTTAAGTATTATTTTGAGAGATTAAAATTCTCCTTCGTTGTTCTTCAACAACTCTTCGGGATATTTTGCGAGTGGATTCTTGTGAATTATTCTTAGCATTATAGTATTGGTTTCTGATTCATTATAATCACGTGGTCAATACTTCCACCTTGATAATATTTGTTTCTAGCTCTCTATAGCTACGGGGTCAATATTCCGAATTCCGCCAATCGAATCCTTTATTTTTTTGGACGTTCCGTTCTTGCTTCCGCATAAGATTATTGGGTCCCGTAACAAGTTCTACGGGGTTCGTATCAGTTGGTAACCAGAGCCAATTTCCAAGAAAAGGTTTCACTTATCCTTTTTTTTTCGTGTCTTTGTCTTGTTTCCGTTCTTCGTGTCTTCTCTATCTCATCTTTTCGTGAATTATGTTGTCTAGAGTCTTCGTTAAAAAAAACAAAAAATAGAATTTTTCTTTTCTTTAAAGTTACTTGCAGCCCACGTTAGGGTTTGTAAAAAAAAAAAGAAAAAAAAAAAAGAAAATCCGAAAAAAAAAAAAAATCTTAGATTCAGCAAAAAAAAAAAAACGAAAATCATTGCAAAAGAAGAAGCAAAATTCGAAATTCAACGAAGGAAAATTCCTTGTAAGGAGTTTTAATAGATTTGGGCAACACAAATCCTATTCCTTTTGTTTCCTTGTCTACCTTGAGTATCTTGTTTCCTTGTCTACCTTTCTCCTAATTGAATTCCACGTTGTTTCTTTGTTTCCTATTCCTTTTGTTTCCTTTTACCATTAAATTCGAAATTCCTTTTATTTGCCTCCACATAATTTCTGAATTGATAAAATACTATTTAGCTTTGAATAAAAAAACGAAAATCCACTTAATATTTTCTCGATTAGTTTCTTTAGAACTTCGAAGGGAGTTTACGAGTGGAAAAAGGCAAGAGAGTGTGAGATCAAAAGAGGGTAAAAGCCTAACTAATTGTGTGAAACACGAGTGTATTGAGTGAACATCATATTGAGTGATACACGTGAGGGAGTGGTGAGGAAAATCTTTTTTTTTTTTTATTTATAACAATATTTTGCAGTTCGAACATCATGTCAAAGAATGGGAGTGGTGATGAAAGGGACGAAACCACGGAGCAGCACTTCCAACGTCTGCATATAACCCTTCAAAGGATGCAAAATCAAATCGATGAGTTGAGTAGGGTAAGACCTGCACCGGCGCCACAACTGCGGCCACCTATTCGTCAACCTGTTGTACGCCAACGTGACGAATTGGAATTCGATGAACAATTCTTCGATGAAGAATCTGAGGACTACAGCTTAAGCGGGGAGGGAGAACTACAGCTCGGGCCGAGGCATCAAGCTGGAAACCGCGATGGAATCCTACTTCGAAACCCGAGGAGAAATCGACAACGAAACCTTCCAATGAAAATCCAATTAACCGAGCACCACCTGAGAGAGGTAATAATTCGTCACAACCACAACGAACACGTGATATTAAATGCCATAGATGTCATGGAGCAGGTCATATCGCTATGGACTGCCCTAACCGGCGAGCTATGATTTTATTGGATAATGGCGAGCTGGAGTCCGAGGAGGAGGAAGAGTCAACTTAAAAAACAGCACCTATTGAAGGTGATGTGGTACAAGCTGTTGATGGACTCGCCCTTGTTGTACTTCGAACTCTTCACGTGCAAGCAGAAGAAGATGGTGACGTAATACAGCGAGAGAACATCTTCTATACACGCTGC